AAATTCTTAGGTTTCGGGTTTATACCTTCACCTGGGCGGGAGGGCCCGTCAGGGCGTCATGATGACGGCAGTCGCCCAGTTTTATACCTGCACTCCATGACGTTCTTTTTCGCTCGCGAAGCTCTGGAAGCTTCGGGCTGCGCGTGGCGGTTGTCGAGCCTTCAGACTCAGCTAAAACGTTCGGGTTTAGGGTTTGGAGCCCCAAGCTGTGCTTTGCGATCAACCTGTTAGGGTCACTCAACAGCATTTTGGAACCGCGAATTAAAGAGGGGTCCTTGCCAAGACCCTCCTGGCACTTTCAATCGGGAAATTCTTGCCGCTAATAGTGGGTACTCAAGACCTAAAAGAGGGTAGAAGGAGGGTCTACGTCGGTCTAAGTAATTTTTATCCTGCATCATTACTGATCCTTCTACATTACTATACATCAACCCGAGAAAATCTCTTGACGGGAAAGCGGGTTGTCGTTGACAACAAGATTGGAGTAGCAAAGCCCATATGAGTTACCTCAATATTAGCCTCATGATGGGAAGCCTGACACTTGACATAGGGGTCCCTCTTGTAGGTTAGTATGGTCCTTGGCTGTTTCCAAAAATGGCGCGTCAGGAATTCATGAAAACGCGCATGTTTGACCCATCCGATACATACCCCAATACATACCTCCATACATACCTCGATACATACCCCGATACATACCCCCGCAGCGTCCCCTTCGTCAAGAGCCCAGCGCTACGAAACATACTTCGAAACATATCTCGAAACATACCTCGAAACATACCCCGAAACATACCCCGAAACATACCCCGAAACATAGCCCCGAAACATACCCAAATCCAAACATGTTTTTTTGGGGCACGGTTTAGCCGGAAACGCCCATATAGTCCCCGATGAGGAACCATGTAAACTAGATTATGTTGGTGTGTACCCTTAAACTCTCAAGCGTAAGATTACGCAGGACATGATTGTAGCTCATATCATGTTTCCTGGCCTTATCCAGAAACAGTCGCCCACCACCCATAAGGTTTAAGGTTTAGGGTTCATGTCCGCTTGCAGATGACACCCCTCTGGAGAACGCCGTCGAGCTCGAGAAGGACCAAATTCGTGGAGGGCTAAGGGTTTGGAACTCAGGGTTTAATGTTAGGGTCGAGGATTTAGGGTTTAAGCTTGCGCGGTATTTCTTGGGAGGGTCTAGCCGGTGTTGAGTGACCATCTGTTCGCATATCAACAATGTTCAAACGGACCTGAAGCCCTCACACCCAGAAATTGGCCAGGAACGCGTACTCAGCGGGGCAGCCGATGGTGAAATGGCGGCCTTGCGGGCACTGGTCTACCTTTTTTTCAAAGTTGTTCGATTATCACTGTGTGTGTGTGTGTGTCAGCTTTGTTGGACTTTCATCTTGTTCGTTGATTAGAGAACCTACTTATATGAGGGATTACAGTAGGTGATCACGGTGTTTTGTTACTGCGATGGAGTATGTTGCCCAACTCCAGGGCACCTCCAAGTGGCCATTTAGAAGCCAGAATCAACATCCATGAGTTTATGGTCGAACCGCGCGTCATATTGCAGTGTGTGGCAGGCTGTAGGTTGAGGCTCGGGTGCTTCCTCAACATGCTAGCAATCCATCAAGAAGCACAGTCACGGTTGACATGGTAGGTTGTCAGATTTCGGTCTTTTCTGGGTCTTGATAGCACCCCTACTTGTTCGGGCACCACAAAAGTGAGGGACCATAAAAACTCCAACTTTGCATTGGCAATATCCCCTGGCTTCAGGAAATACACAGTGAATCATGTTAAAAACACTGTTCCCTGCCGGTTCTTCATCTTAGTGGTGATAAATGAGTAGGGGAGAACGGAATTTTCCCTATATAACCCGTACATGCTTTCTTCCCTAATTCCCTACTAACCCTAAACCCTAAACCAGTAAGTCTGTGCAGGTGTAGGTATGTGGAGGGAGTAGTTTTTCAGCCCAGGTGGTGCTCAAAGGCTTGCGAAAGGTGTGCCGCGGCGGCAGCAATTTTAAGGCTTCGGGTTGAAGCTTAGTTAAAGGTAACAGGTCTATAGCCCCATTGCTACAGAAACTTTTGGCATAGCTGGAAGTCTTGCCGTCTTTGCCCACACGTTTCTGGTGAAAAGCGTCTCGCACGCATTGCCTCTATACAGGTCGCCGTTCATTGTTAGGCTTAACTCCATTCTTTCCATAAGAGCGAGCCCCTGAAGTTGTGGAACCCCCCCATATGTGCACGTCCACGGCTGGATTCACTCCTGACAGCATGAAGCTTGGGACAGCTGCAAGATTTCTTATGCTGGAGACTGAGCAGATGTTGGGATTTCCAGAAGACAAAGCGGCTCCTTTCAAAAGATCCTTGCAATTGTAACAAGGATTCTGGCAATTGGGCGTATATGTTGGAACGATTCTGATTGGTGCTGCAAGTTCCTCTCATTGAAGTCAGTAGAAAGATTACGAATGATGAAGGTAGTATTTTATTTTAGATGTCCTAAATTTAGAGCAATCCCTTTTAAGGAGAAACCGCAACAATACCTTACAACCACAATGTTTCCTATGTAATCCTACAGTCCTCATGATATATTTCATTTTATCTCCTATAAAACCCAGACCCTTAACCCTAGAAAAACCCCCTTTGGGGCTACCAAAATCCTCTTGCTATAAATGGCCTGAGGTTCCCCAGCCGCCGTGGGGCCAGGCCTAAGGTAGCCGTGGAAGTGCCTTGACAACGACATGCGCGGTAGGGGTTTCTCTAGGCGATCCAATCCAATGTAGTTCCGTTTTGGGTTTGGTCTGGTTTTTGGGTTAGGACTCGTAGTAGGATTACCAAAAAGGGACTACGTTGGAAGGTTTAGGTAGGGTATACCCAGCCAACACAGCTAGAGGTGCCTTCAGAGGGTAGTAGGGGTTGTATTCCTGGTATAGAAGGATATGTGAGCTGAAGAGTTTCAACAAATTTTGGTCATCTTTTATGTGGGGTCTATCTTGGGGGGGGGGACTCAAGCATCTCATAAGTTCAAGCTTGAAGCCGACAGACGTCAAGAGGGGGCTTTCCCAAAGAATTCAAAATTTCAAGAGGTAAACCCTTAAACCCCTAATCCCTGAAGCCTAAATCCTAAACCTTAAGTCTTAAATCAATCCCTGAACCATAACTCCTAAACCCTAATCTCTATACCCTCATAACATTAATCCCTAAGCCCTGACCCCTAGACCCTAAAGCCCATAAACCCTAACCTGCATGTTCAGATCTGGTCTTCCGGGCAGGTTTCTGGTGCTCACCCCCAAGCTAAGACGGAGCCTAGAAATGGCCTCTTTTAAGTTCAGGGTTGAGGGTTTAGAGTTAGGGTATAGAGTTTAGTTCATTGTCTCTAAGGGTTATATGAGATTTTCATGTTAGTTGGGGGGAGGGTACAGCCCGGCTTGAACATTCATGGTCTCTAGAAGCGTTGGGCGCAATGCTTCCTACAAAGCGTACGTACGTGTTCAGCGGCATGCAGGTCACTAACCCAGCTAGAGGCAAAGCACGGTCAAGCCTATTCCAACCTGTGCTTAGCAAGGAATGAGGGATGGATCCCTACATAGGGGTCGGTTTGAAAATGCTGCTATTTCATTGATATCCTCTAGTCCCTGTACCATCCTTATAAAGCCGTAAAAACTTGCGTTGTACAGGGCGACCTCTCCATTCGCTCTCTAACCTAAACCCTTTAGAATTAAACCCTAAACCTTTAGGGTTCCAGGGATAAAGGAGCTACCAGCGAGATCCTCTTCCTGCACCAAGGATCTCTACTTCGGAATCCCGGAAGGTGAGTGCTTTGGGCACCTGCGACAGCAAAGGGTCATACAAGGCTATACAGCGATAGATAAGGATACATGGAGATATATGTGGTGGATGGGCCATATAGGGATGTAGGGGGTTTACGAATCAGGATTGAGGGCTTCCCCAAAATTAGGTACTTTTTTGTGGGCGCTAGAACAAGGATTGTAGTATTTGGGGATCTACACTAGGGTCCCCACCCAGATTTACAGTTTGAATGGGTCAGCTCTACCCGGGACCATCTGCATTCAGGGGTCAGTATAGGTGATCTTCCGTCTCGCCGTGGCTTGCAAGATTCTTCTAAACTGAGGAAAGCCAGAGGGAATCCCAAGGCACCATGCAGTGCTATGCGGTCGAAGCCGAATAGTTGCCAACGCTCTATTCTTATCACCTAGGCCCCTACAAGAACCGTAATTCCGTAGTCGGCATTTCATAGGGAGCAGGAGGAGGCTCCTGTGGGCATGACTCCAGCCACCTCGTTTACAGGGACAGGGATTAGAAGTAGACTTTGACACGAGAAGATATCGCACCACCTATGATACCCAAAGTGCTGTTCCCTCCCCCACGTTCCTTTAGCCGCGCCAACGACTTCCAAGGTTCTTGGGATTAAACGGCGCCGGAAAGACGACGACCATGAGCCCTGCCTGCTGAAGGCTTGCAAGGTATTTGTCCTCCTCAGCTTTGCAGGATATGGAGGGGCCACCGCAAATACGCATCCCTGAAGGGGGATCCTCATTGATCGTATTCAAAGGGAACATACGCCATGGCCATTTTTGGGCAGGTCTTTCAAACAACTGCTACCTGTCTTTGTTGCGAAGTCTTGATCGCAGACCTTTCTGATGGATTGTGTTGAGCAAGAACCCTAAACCATAAATCCTCTTTGCTAACCCCAGCGACCAATGCAGCGCTGGAGTGACAGAGCTCCCTGGCACTGGCAGCCAAGGCAAGCCTCCAGTTGAGACAGCATGCCATTTCCCTAAGCCCTGTACTTAGACCCTCCACCAACCCTCTACTCAGGCCTAATTACCCACCATCAGGGCCATATATTCTCAATCAAGGGTACCAGTCACTAGGCGGTCTTGGTGCACAATATTTGGAGTTCTGCTCGTGGTGTTCCGTGCCAGGAAGTTGCATGTGGGATTGGTCTCGATGGTTTAGGTCATGACATGACTTTTGGTGACTGAGGAAGCTGCTGACTGGAGAGGAGCTTTGTACCGGCGGTGATGCTACCATTGGCGGCTTCGACATTAAAACGCAGCAGAACCAGGCGGCGTTGGATCAAGATTTCAAACTTGTGCAGATTGAATGTGAGAGGGTTTGAGCTACAAATGTTTGTGTTTGATTTGTTTCAGGAAATGAAAGTGCTGTGCGGAAGGAGTGGTGCAGTCCTCCGTGATGTAGTCCTCACATGGTAGGTAGCTCCTCGAAACGATCCCGAGATTAGCCCTAAGCCATAAACCCTCAATCCCTCAAGTGGGGGCTCTTAGAATCCTTTGTGGTCCCCTCATGCCATAGGATTTTTCAGGCAGGGCTGGGGAATAACTACATGGTTAGTAAACATTGTTTAAATGGGTTATGTGACGGGGTTGGGGTTTAGGGTTGGGGATATAAGGACACTTAATCAGGATTTCTAACCATGTAGCTAAGCACCAGTCACCTAAGCAAGGGCCCCCTGCTTTTCAGCCGATAAACAAGAAAAAAACCAAGAAGCCCTACAGGAAACCCTAGAAACCCTAAACCTTAAACCCTAAGCCCTAAACCCTAGAAACCTTAAACCCTAGAAGCCTTAAATTCCAATCAAGCCCTTGACTCGGGGAGGTACGACGCTTGATTGGCTACTGCCCACAGTTCGATGCCCTCATTGGCTCCTGGGCTTGGCTTACAAACTCAGAAGCCCTGAACCTTCATGCCCTAAACAGTCAAACCCTAAACCCTAAACCCTAAACTCCTAAACCCTAAACCCAAAACTTAGCTGTGGGCTCCAGGCGAGGCTTTTCCAGAAATGGGGGGTCCCTTCAAACGGGATGCAGGGTTTAGGGTTACCTCAAATTAGGGGTGCCTTTTTCGGGTCCCTGTGTCCTAAAAAAGGATTACAGTGTCCGGGGGGTCTATGTTGGGCTCCCCCCATTTTTGGGAAAGAACACATTGTCCTAGTACCATCCAAAGGTTAACTTTTTTAAAGACCAGTGAACTCAGGGAGAAGGTAGATGGGTGTGTTCCAGAAGGTCGTTCGTGAACTAGCTGTTCCGCGGTTTGGGTAGGTCCAGGCTTCTGGGTCCTCAAGTTCACTTCTGTGTTTCCGTGAGTGACGCACATTTTTGGTGGGGTTTCCTATAATGAGCTTTATATTACTTCGAGGTCTATATTGGGACACCTTATTTATGACCTTCCTGATGTCCGAGCATGTTGCAGTTCGCTGAGGAACGTTGACGGCCCGAGAGCACCTGACACTTTTTGCTCGCATTAAGGGCTTCCCGGAGGCGGAGCTTCCAGTTTATGTGGCCCGGCAATATGCAGCGTCAGTCAAGCACCGTATTGAAACTATGTAAATCCTGAAGCAGGGGTAGGTCGTGATTCTAGATACAACGGAGTTCGGGGACTTTAGAGCAATCGGCTAGTCTTGGTGGATGTGTCCACAGGATGGAAGGTTCTCACATGTTATGCAGCAGCCTAGATGATTCCCAATCTTGCACGAGCAAATGATCCTTCCATAGCTGCAGAATAATGTGTCCTCATGACTCGAGTCACTTTCTTGCTGTATCCACTGCTTTACCCTGGGCCTGAGGTGAACTCCCTGCTAGAACAGCTGACGCTGCAGCCCTATGCCGATAAACAGGCATTTTCCTTCTCCGGAGGCTGGGCAAAGAGTTGTGTTTCTGGCTTTATAGGGTTTAGTTTAGGGCCTGCTTAGGGTGGATTGTGAACATGGAAGGGCTAAGCTGTAGGAACCTAGGACATGCGATCAGCAGTGTCATTGTTGGACTGCAGTCCCTCAACCTAAGCCCCAAACCGTAACCCATGAACTGCCCATGAACCCCATTAGACCCAAGTACGGCAGGTATACATTCCATACCCGATACCAGATCTTCATCTTAAAGCTTCTCGAAGCCCCGTGAGGTACGCGCCGAAAACTCTCTTTGGGCTTGTCTCCCGGCAAGAGCTTACGACTTGCAACTGCTTGTGGGTTTAGGGTGTATTTTGGGTATTGTCCCCGCTCAGCAACAGTTGGATAACAATTTTGTAAAGTTATTTGCAGCTCCTAAGGTACCCCTATTCTAGACTGTTATCGGGCGGGGGCAGTACACAAGGTTTACTGTTCTGCAACCGCGCCTGGCATGATAGGTAGCCCTGTGAAGGATTTTGGCCGCCTGTTCATCCCATTTTAGACTCCTCTGCTCCTTTCATGGTCATCACACCAGCTTGAGCGCAATCGACTGGAGGCTGACTGATTGTGAGTTGTTGTCGCCATTGTTTCTCTGCACTCCCAGTATATTGGGGTAATATTGGGATAATGGAAAAGAAAATGGAAACTACTGGGAATATAGGGATCATATAGGGTTTATATAGGGGTATATTGGGGTAATATTGGTATAAATGTAGGAGGTTGAAGGCTCCCCGTACGGCAGAAATGCCTTGTATACCCAACCTCAGCTACGCCTCCACCACATCAAACCAAGTCTTATGTAACGTAGTTACCCTGGTGAAGCTTGCCTTAGTTCGTCATCTACGGGTCCTTTGGCGGTGTTGCATAGTCCCTGGAGGCTCTGAGAAATGAGCATTGGAAGCTGAACCCCTCAGACCCCAGAGGCCTAAAACCCTTGAACTCTAAGCCCTAAACTCTAGACTACCAACCCTTTAACAGTACGGCTTGTAAATCACGGCTATCTCGAGTTGCGGCCTGATCTGTTGAGAATACAAGCGCGGCCGCTGTCTGGACTCATACAGTAATGCACTTCATCATCACCATCATCATCAGTGTACCCTATACCCATGACGACTATGACTATGACCTCAGTAGACGGGAGTAGCACAGATCCAAAAGTCTGAAGTGTCTAGGGCCATCCATGATTCATGGTATCAAGCCTATGACCATTACTACTACTCCTATGTGTAGTGCTACTGCAACCCACCCTAGGTCCCTGGTCGGCAACCCTCGCTGCGTTTTCCTCGATGAACCGACCACTGGCGTGGACCCTGAGTCAAGGCGTTTTATGTGGACGCTTGGCTTTGGGAGGGATGGGCTTAGGGTTTAGGAAGTTAAGCGTTTTGCATGTAAGAGGGTTTTGTTTTTTTGGTTCAGGGGATCACAACACGCAAAGTTTCGTAGGCTACATGTCGCAGGCATGGGGTTCTTCCTTTGGGAGTTGCCATTGTGTATGCTCTTGGGTGCTCAAGATGATTCCGTTACAATCCCCCAATTATTCTAGTGCCAAATGCTATTTAGGGTTTTGGGCTTAGACGTTGCATTACTGCTAGTCCAGAGGCGGCAGTCATTTGGAACGGACGCAGCCGCACTGGTTGTTTTTCCTAAGCGCGCCACGCGCAGTGATACAGGCTTGGTGAGATCGCAGAATGCGCATCTCTATGTTGGAATCTGCCGGAGCCCATGCAGAATGTTGCAAGATCTTGGAACCACCCACCTAAACCTAAAACCCTGAACTGGCAAGCCGTTGAATCAACACAATTACAATACTGCGGGCTTCCAGTGTGCAAGGTGTTTGGGCTCCTGCAGACTCTGCGCCCTACACTCTGAGCTTCAGATCCCCTGAACCGAGAAATCCCTTGAACTTTAAATCCTCCAACCTTTAATCCTCCGAACCTCTCATCCCCTGAATACTAGACACCCAAAGATTCAAGGAAGCTGATCTCCAGCACGATGATTGGTCGTGCTGTGATCCTGACCACGCACTCCATGGAGGAGTGTGAAGCCTTATGCAACAGCTGCCCTGCGGCAATAACATAATAGTTTGTACCCACACGCATCCCGTGAAACTATCTTGCCTCATAGCTGCGCTTCCAGTATGCTCAAATGAGACGCTGCTCAAAGCTTCTGTAGAAACTTGAAAAATTACCAACAGTATTCCCGTATGATCCTTCAATAGTTGGAACACACTATATCCTGCACACCTGTTCTACTTGTGTAGGCCCCTGTCGTATGGCGTTTTAGCGGCCTCTTAGAAGGATCATTTGCTCTTGTGTGGGTGAGTAAACGATTCTTCTCTGGGACGCGGCCACAGTAATCGCAGCTGCGCCACGTCATAAAAAGGAAAGCCCATCTACCTTGTAGACCTCAACCGCAAATCTTCACCACAGAAATCCATTTGTTAGTTGTTCATGTCATTCTTAATATTGAAGCCGTTTAGGTCCCTGAACCCTAACTTCCCTCACTTCTACTTACTGGGGGTGTTAGTAGAGAATAAGGAATATATAATCCATGTAACGTGCCTAGAGTACATTCCCGTAAACCCCAAGCACTAAATTCCGCGCCTAATTCCCTCCACCCCAAGCCCTGAATTCACTCACCTCTAAGGAATAGGAATCATGGTGAACGGTCGCCTTGTTTGCTTGGGCACCGCATCCCAGCTCAAAGCCACTCATGGCTATGGCTGCCCGGCGGAGCCTTGAGAGTTTAGGATGCTTAATGGGAAGTAGGGAGGGTTTAGGTTTAGGATTTTAGAAAAAATTGGGGATTATTCTGGTTATGGGCATGGTCTTAGGCTCCGGTAAGTTTACGGACGTCGCTTGGTCTATCTTGAGTCAGAATAGAGATAATGACAGCTTTGCGACATGGTAGCACTTCCGGGCACTTCCGGCGCAACGGACGTGAGAGTAGCGGTCTTAGTTTTGCGACTAGAGAGATGTTCTTGCTGCTGCCTATTCGCGTTGAAAGTGCTAGACTTGCCTCCCGTGAATGCTCCAGGGGAGGTGGGCGATAGGTCAGCCGGTAAGGATGCAACCAAAAAGGGCCACGGTTTCAATCTGAGTAATAGTAATAATGATACTAGTAATAACATCAATAGTAGCAATAATCGTAATAATAGTAGTAAGGGTAATAATGATATTCATAGTAATATTAACAACCGTAGTTCCCTCGACCCTCAGCTCGCTGTAGGCGCCTTCATAATTACAAAGAGTTTAGTGTTTATCCTTCCCTTATAGCTCCCACAGAATTTTTACAGCATCTACCCAACACCCTATTCCAAGTGTCTTTGCCGCAACATTACACTAGCTCCATTGCTAAGGCTACCAGTTTGAGGTGACCTTCTCGTCCACTGTGCAGCTGTCGCAGGCAAGAGCCCTTAAGGGTTTTAGGCGTTGACGGTTTCGGATTCAGTATCTTAGGGGTTTAGGGTTTTGTTTTTTCGGCTCAAAGTTCAGGTTTTGGGGTTACGCGGTATAGTGCTTCGATTGATGTTTGATATTCTGCATGTAGTATACGATGATACCATAGGTCCCACGTCATAAGCACTAGTACAGAGCACCCCACCCTTGACCCCAAAGCCCAAACCCTCTAAGCCCCCTAAACCCCAAAGCTTAAACCTCTCAACCGCTAGACCCCCAAACCACTAACCCATGAACCCTACAGTAACCCCCCAAACCCACACCCCAAAGCCCTTAAACCCTGAAACCCCTAAACCCAAGACCTTAATTACTCACCCTAAGCCCAGGCACAAGAGGACCTTCGCAGCTTCCTCCACAAGTTGCTGCTCACCTTGAAGGGCCCAAGAGTTGTTCAATGATGGGTTCCATGAATTAGGGATCCCTTTTCGGAGGGTGCCCAATCATGAGGTTGTCAAACTGTTAGGGCGTATGGCCTTTCCCGTATGAAGATGAGGATTTAGGGTTGGGGCCCAGAGCTGACTTTGGGATTTGAAGACATGGACCCGTTTGGATTCAAAAGGTTCACCTCTGAGCAGGCAACCCCTTGGAGTCGCTGGTCCTAAACTCGCTGGTTCCTAAGGGGGAGTGGAGAAGAAGATGGAAACGATTGTGGGGTTTGGGGAGTAGGGTACTCAAGGAGAACTGGGGCAGGGAGTGTAGGTAATGCAAGAGGAGTGCATCTGGGGATTCTGCAAGGATAGTCGTAGGGATCCCCTCCCCCACCCCCTTCAGCATCAGTAAATGAAGAAGGCGGCGGAGTTCAGGAAAGAAGGTTCCAGACAGTGAGGAAATGCAGGCGACAACTGTCAGGATACTTCTGAACCCTGAAACTTGGACTGATATCGAGGAGCCTCACTAAAACAGTCCAATATTTGGATAGGGCAGCTTCGTTCAGGATCCTGATGCATTCGTGTGCCTGTAGTGAGTCTAGCCTCATGTGTCTAAAGCAGATTGGACTTCAGATGGTGACAAGGTCTTGCAGTGTCGGACACCTCGTCCTACATATGTCTTGATATGTTCGGGCTATACGAAGGAGGACTACACAACCTTGGGAATCCAAGTGTATTAAGCAAGTGTATGAAGGATACCTTGGGCTGTTTTGATCTCTTGGGGAATGTGCCTGGACCTTCGGCGTCCTACACTGTTTGAAGCAGCCTTTAGAATTTTGGTTGGAAATCATGGAAAGGGTTCGCATACAGGATCCAGGAGGAATTAACACTAAGTTGCCGGGATATTGACACGTAATGAATATGATGGCTTTGTTGCCCAGACCATTGAAAAGATCCAAAAAGTGGGACCTCCCAATAATCCCTTAGGTTCCCCAACGTTGTTGTGAGGTTTATTTGGGCGGGCTCCACTTTTTGGATCCTTTGGGGGGGTTTAGATACTATGGTAGCTGCAGAGTCTGCATCTCCCCAACACCCTTACCCAGAAACCCAAAAGCCTTAAATCTGAAAGCCTCAAGCCCTACCCTAAACTCAGAAACCCCTAAAACCCCAAACTTCAAGGCCTAAAAGCCCAAACCCTGAAACTCTTAAACCCTTATCCCTCAACCCTAACCCCTTCTGGGCTTGGAAGCCACATCCTTTGTCTGAGGTTCCCAGATGGACTTCGCGACGAGCAGGAGGGTGCTGGCCTACGGGCTCGTGCGAGGCTTGGGGCTGCCTGGTTTGAGTATGTTTAGGGTTTAGAGGTTAGGGTTTAGGGGTTTAGGGTTTAGGGTCTAGGGGTTTAGGGCTTAATGTTTGGGGGTTTAGGGTTTAGGGTTTAGGGGTTTAGGGTTTAGGGATTTGAGTGTCAGGGGGGTTTAGTAGGCCCTTGTTCCTTTTTGGGAGTCTTAAGTTCTTGACGAAATCGCGCATGCCACATGGGGCTGAAAGAGGCCAACTCCCTCCTGGTACCCTTAATTGGGGTTATAAGGTCTCTGATAGTGGGTACTTAGGCCTGATTTGAGGAATTCTGCCACATGAGAGGGTTTTGAGCATGCCGCATCAGTTTCAAGAATTAGAGAATTAGAATAGGGCTTGCAGTTTAGGCCGTGGGGGTGGTTAAGATTTACCTGGACCTCCCAAATACCTAGAATAATGGTCTATGTACGTGGCCTATTTTTTTGGGGGTACGGAGCCTTCATTTTGGTTATGTGGGAGGTCCATATAGGCTCAGAGAATTAGAGTAGGGCTTAGGGGTTACGGGGTTTCGAGTTTGAATTTCAGGGTGTAGTGTTTAGAGTTTAAGCCTTCGGGTGCGTATAGGCTGTGTGGGGGCCCAGCATTACTAGAAGAGCAGGGACTTACATGGCTCCAAAAACAAACCACAACGCTGACAAACTTCCGGGTCAGATGCGAATGCTGGGCTGGAGTACCGCCAAGAATCACAGTGTTGGTCGGACCAGTGGTCGTCATCTCGATGATTGTAGAATACATGAGCAACAACCGATGTCAGTAGTCAATACTCCACCTTGGGTCTAAGTCCCGAAAGACACATAAACCCACCACATCTCCAAAACCCCAAGCCTTTGCGGAGGGGATTAGGGATAAGCATGACGAGTTTGTTTTTGATGTACTGGTTATAACGGCAAAGCATTGTAATTACTGTGCTCAGGCCTCCACTTCTAATGGTTTAGGATTTCGGGTATAGGGGTTTAGGGTATAGGGACCCCCACAGCCCCAACCTGAACAAAAGCATAGCTTGTTCAGCATAGCTTGACGCAAGCTCAGCGTCCGTGACGAAAGCACCCAAGCAACTTACCAATAATAGCAACAATAGCTATAGCGATATTCGTAATATTGGGAGCCATAGGAAAATAAGACAATAGTAATAATCGTGATGGTCGTAATAGTAGTAATAATTGTAATAGTAGCAGTAACAGTGAGAGTGGTAGTATTAGAATTACTAGAAATCATAATCCAAGGCCAAAGGAACCCACCTTGGCCCAAAAAAGGGGCAACGATGGCCGACAGGTATCGCCTGCCCAAAGGCACCAAGCCAATCTCTGAAATCTTCAAGCTTGTGGAGGCCTCTCGAACTGCACACGGGCTACTGTCCATATTAGGCTTATTAAGGGACCCTTAACATTGGACATTGGGTTTTCTTGGTAGTATGGTATAGTCTTTGATGTTCTCCCTAAGAGGAACCCGTGTCCATTACTAATCTGGGAAAGATTGACTGTAAGCTCACGTAGTCATATGAGGGGTATGGAGGAATGGAAAAGAATTTGGAAACTGCCACAGGTTTTCGTGGTGGGGGTTTCATGCAGGGTGGGCAAAACCCAAGTCATATCCAGGTGATATCCTGTAGTCTCTCTCAACAACCGCTATCGACAGCACTGGTGTTTCGTAATGCACCTACCGCAGCGCAAGCTGCAAGCAGTCGCGCAGTCAATGATAAATCGCTGGTACATTCCTCAAGCATGCCGGTGCTATGGCAGTGAGACTAGGAAGTTGGTCCTATCCCTACCTCAGCCCTGCACCCTAGGGTTGCTAGCTGCTAGTTATTGGGTCTTGGTGTTAAGGGCTGGGCTTGTCACAAAGCTCTTTTTCAGTGATGTTGACATGGAGGGAGTCGGGCTTGAGGAGCCGTGAGCCCTATAGATCCTGTAACCCTAAGCCCTGAAATCAGGTTTGGTCTTGAATGCTCACTATCCATAGCCCGACACCTAAGCAAAGGCATTGCCTACACGCCTAACACCCTAGACGCTAGACCCGAATCCATTGTTAACAGCTGGAAACCTGCAGGTCCAGAGTGGAAAACTTGCAAGTTTCCAGGGGGTTCAGAGTTCGGGGTGTAGGGTTTAGGGGTTTAGCGTTCAAGTGCTTAAAAGTGAAAGCTTTACAGGATTTAGGGGCTTAGGGTTGCTTGACATGATCTTTGTGGTTCTAGTCCATGATCCAGGGCATACCAACTGATTAAGATGTATTGAGCTCTTTGTGTTGTTTGCAAGCGGCTTGCGCTACCATAGAGTGGGCCAGCGTCATCCGACTCCGTATTCTTGTAGGTTCTTGTGGTAGTCTATCCAAATAAGGGGACCCCAATACAGACCACGTTTTACTATAATCCTTTTGATGTGGGGACCCCCCCAAAACGGTACCCCTGGTTTTAGGAAACTCTCATATAGTACTTCATAGTGGGTCCTGTGCTTTGGGTGCACCCTGTGTTGGGTTCAAATCAGAGCCAACTTTTACGGAGAGGTGGTGCAGTTGCAGCGGGCGTTTCCGACCAGGTTTA